ACACACACACACACACACACACACACACACATAAAACCTTTCTCCCAATAAGCATTAATATTAGTACTTAGTTTTGTGCCCAATGCTTCCCTCTCCCTTACGTAGGCTTAAATGAATTTTGATTTAAAAATTAATTAAGTGAACTCAAGGAAAGACTGAAAAGCAGTGTTTGTGTGGAGTGAGTCAAGGGAGGTCAGTAGGCTAATAATCTTTCCCTTCTGTACTCCCATGGCCAATTCTTTTGCAAGGCACCATACCAAGTGGCTTTGATTCTTCTGTTTTTCCATTTAGTTTCCCCAATCCACTATCCAATTAGTACTACTTCCTCATTCAGAAAGAAGGCAGATTTCCCAGCAGCTACCTTCTGCAAAAGTCCCCACAGAAGCTACTAAGAGAAATCCAGGATAGGCAAGGTTCCTGCTGTCTAGCCAGTAACTTAATTTCCTTGGATGGTCAGATAGCCATAGCCATAGGTCAATGGCCCCTTGCATAGGGCTAGAGTAACACAGAGCCTCTGGACCAGTCAGGATCTCTCTTCAAGACAATTACTTGACAATGCTATTTTGACAGATAGAGACATTCTGCATGCCAAAGAACTGTGACCCATTTTAATGATCCCAAATTGAGCTTTCTGAAAATAGTTCTCACAGGAAAGCTAGCTTAGTCGTGGATTCAGAGGTCCTGAATTTCAAATCTGCTACTTAGTACCTGTGTGACCTTGGACAAGGTGTAATCTAAGTTCAGTTTTACAAGTTCTCAGAGACTCCACATTACAGGCCTAGAGTTAAAATATTGTACAAGCACTGAAAAATGCCTCTCCCTATTATATCTACTTAGGTATTTCTGCTAATTATGACTCTAGTTCCTAGCCCAGAGCCTGGCACATTTTAGATGCTTAATAAAGGCTTGTTGATTGACTGATTGATTGACCAAGTAACTATATTGATAGGAAGGAGGGAGAGAGGGAGGAAAAGAGGCAGCCTTGTCTTTCAACTCTGGGCTTCTGTTTATGGATTATAGCCACTGATCACCCTGGAGGGAAGCAAATCATTTAAGTTTACTTCGGAAGGAATGAATACCATAACAGTACAGGTCTCAGCCGGGAGTGCGATTCTTCAGGACACAAAAACCATCGCAGTGTATGGTGAGTGCCTCTTTCTTTCTGAAATGTGACAGTTTAGGTCAGAGTAGCACTGGTGTGAGTATGGGAGGTAATGGGGATGGGACTCTTAGGTGTTGCCTAAGGGAGATTGGGAAACAAGTAGACATTGTAGGATAAAGGCTGAGAGCTGGACAGGACCTCAAAGTCCATCTCTTCCAAATACCTCCTTTAAAAGAGGAGAGAATTGGCATCTTCTCTGAATAATATTTTTTGCATATATTTGTAATTGAAGGAAATGTTAAATTTCATCTAGAAGTTGCTAGAAATAAAGATGAAATTTTGTTTTTCCATCCAAGTTCATAACTCCACCCCCCCCCGAAATTAACACATGGAGCCTATAGATTTCAAGATAAGAACCCATGGCCTAAAGTGTCTACTGATATTTTGCTATGAGGACAGGAGCACACTGGTGCTACTGTATGAATTACGAACTGAGGTGTTTGGAAGTTAGATCATTTTATCAAGGAGAAATTTCTTTATACTATGGAGAAACTGTGTGTAGGCTGCTTCTTTACTTTTATCTCACCAACTTGATAGCAAGATAAAGTACAGAAATTCTTTTAGAAGTAAAATTGAACATGATATGAAGACCAAAGCAGCTTTAGGAGCAGGGTATCTGGAGTAGCTACATGCTTAGTACACCCTTCTCTTCAAAGGAGTTGGCTGGGAGAGAATGAGATGCAGTCAAGCCAATGTTTCCTTCCTTCCCTCTTTCTTTCTTTCTTTCTTTCTTTCTTTCTTTCTTTCTTTCTTTCTTTCTTTCTTTCTTTCTTTCTTTCTTTCTTTCTTTCCTTCTTTCTTTCCTCCTTTCTTTCTTTTTTTCTTTTTCTTTCTTCCTTTCCTTCATTCTTTCATTCTTTCTTCCTTCCTTTTTTTCCTTCCTTCTTTCCTTCCTTCCTTCTTTCTTTCATCTTGGTCCCCTCTGTACCAATAGCAGAGGGAACAAAGCATTTGCCATTGATTTTTTCATTTAATATTCCCAACTCTCTTGTAAGGTAGGTGTTATTTTTATTCCCATTCTAAGAAGGAGAAAACTTAGTTTGAGAAAAGTTAATTGGCATGCTTAGGGTCGTACAACTAATAAGTCTGAGATAGTTTTCAAGCCCATGGCTTCCTGGCTCCATGTCTAACATTCGATACGCTGTTCTAAACTGTTGTCTCCCCCCAGAGGCTTTAGAGTCTTAAAGAGTTGCCTTACCCAGGGTCATATGTCCAGTATTTGTCAGTGTAGTATTTGAACTCACCCAGGTCTTTCTGTTTCCCAGGCTAGTCCCCCATTCATTATATGAAACTGTTTCTCAATGTATTTCTTCTTGTATTTTTTTTTTTTTAAGATTTAGTAGACAGGTCTCTAGACAGATTTCAAGGAGCGTAACAGAGAAACTTGGAGAGGCTCTATAGACCCAATTTTTTCTAACAGTTTGTTAAAGCTACCTTAAATTCAGGGTGAAGGGCAGTGGTGTCAAACTAAAAAAAAATGTGGCCACCAAACTGTACATAAGCATCCCTGTGGGTTACATATTGATTTAGAAAACCACATATTCCCATTATCTATGTTCTATTGTATTTTTATTTATTTTATTAATTTTTTTTTCGAGTACAGGTAAATTGGGTTAGGACCACTCTGGGGAGTGTTATGGGCTGTATTCAGTGGGTCATGTATTTGACACCTCTGACCTAGAGGCTTTCATTCAGTGATAGCTGATGCCTTTTTTTCAGAGAACTTCTGTCTAACCATCCTCACAGTAAGCTTCCCTTTAATCTCCCTCTCTCTCCCCCTCATCTCCTAATATCTTTCCCCCTTCTTTTCTGCCATAATTGTACCAGTGACACGTAAGGTGCTTCTTAGTTCCTTTGATGACTCTTATGACTAAACAATTTGCTGGCCTCCTGTTTAGAATCTCTGGATATCTGAGCTAGATGGGATTGTTTTAGAGATTGTTTTACGAGAGGAAACTGAGCCTCAGGAACAAGAGAAGAATTGCCCAAGATCACACAGTGTGTTGGCCACAAAGTCAAAATAAGAACCAAGTCTCATGCTTCTAAATTCAGAACTTTTCCCACCGCCTCCTGCTTCTCAGTCCCTTAATACCTTCTCATAACTTCAAGGGAGGTACCATGGTACAGTGAGAAGAGTGCTGGATTTAGAATCAGATGGCTAAGTTCAAATCTTCGTTCTACCATTTACTAACTCGGTGATGTCGAGTAATCAGTCAGTCAATAAGCATTTATTAAGTGCCTACTATGTGCCTAGCACTGTGCTGGGCACGAGGGATATGAATACCAAGAATTAAACCATCCGTACTAACAATAACTATATATTCTCATGTCAGACATGGGAAGAGTGGCAAGGAGAAAACATCTTTCTAAAGTCATGTTTGCCATCTGAAGGAAGGAAGCAAGCCACATGCTGGACCCTTGAGAAGGAAAAGCTGTGTCGATTTGTTTCTCCTAAATTTGCTTCAGGGCACAGGTTTTCTTTTAAATTAAAAATGCAAATGTGCAGAATCCATCTCTGTGAGCAGCTGTAAAAAAAAAAAAAGTAATTGGTATTTGCCCTTTTTGTTCCTCCCACAATGCTTTCCTCTTTTCAAAACAGACTTCAGTGTAATGTTTCTAATTCCCCATCCTTGCACCCTGCTGTTTAATACAGAAGTGAGGGTCTTTTTTTCAACTAAAGTTCCCCCCACCCCTTTTTTTATCATCTATATACTTATCCAAGGCACCTTTACTCTGCAGTTTAGCAAAAACAAGTAGGGAAGGGGAAAGGATAATGACGGGAAGAAAGTAAACTGAGGTTCTGAAAACAAAATGGGGAGACACAGTGGGTGGTTTCTCACTGTTGGCATTTACTGAGCAACTTAATTAATATGCATCTCGTTATTCTTTGTCCGGGCTGGGGTAGTGATATTCATGTAAGTGACCAGTGGCTCATAAAACAGGCTTTGAAAAATACATCTGTGAAATAGGGTATCAACCATAAAGGCAGACGTGGTAATGTGAGAGTCTCCAAAGCATGTGTTTGATAAGCCTTTAGTATTGCCAAGAAAAGCTTAAGTAAGTTTTTATGCCACCTGCGTGACTAATATGGAGCCCCAGTGTCTGTTAGTCCTTCTGAAACTCAAACACATTATTTCCCACCTATGGATTTTGACATCAAACCTCTCCCCTTGCTCATTTAATAGCTAATTTAAGTAGGTTCTACAGTCTCAAAGTTAAAAAGGGATAAACAACACTTCCTTGAATCCTTGGCACTTCAGGCTCTGGGTATGTGTATAGTATGCACTCTGTTATCATTAAGTGTTGTGGTCGGTAAGGGACATAGGAACATTTTGATTCACTGAGTTCTCCTGCCCTTATGTCCCCAGAGGAATTCCAGTCTCTCCGCCTGTCCTTCTCTCCAAACCTGGACGATTACAATCCAGACATCCCAGAGTGGAGACGAGACATCAGCCGAGTCATCAAAAGAGCCCTAGTTGAAGTGAGTGAAGAAGATTGCTTCTCCCAACCTAGGGATAGTCCAGCTACTGCCTTGGAGAGATCTATGGTGATCTGGTGCATGGCAGGACTGAGCAGCTGGAAACTGTGAGATCAGAGTCAGACAGCAACATTACTGAACGTGACTTCTGTATAGAGCTCTGTGCTAGGCTTTAGGGGAAAGGGGGATAAAAAGAAACAACATATATGATTCTTGTCCATATCATATGGAATTAGGAATTAGGGGTTAAGGTTAGAAATGGAATTAGAGTTAAGAGAATCATAGGATGTCAGAGCTGAGAGCTATTTATGATAGGATCTGCTCCATACCCTTCACTGTACAGATGAGGAAAATGTATTCATTTTGTTTGGGGAATCAAAACACACACACACACACACACACACATACACACACACACACACACACACACACACACACACACACACACCTATGAAGAGGACTTAGAAATACTTAGCAGAGCAATATGAAACAACCCCAAAATCAAAATCTAAGGAAAAACTGGCTCAGCTGTGCTGGAGGTACATGGAAAACAGCAGTGACCAAAGTTGGATCATAGGAGTTTGTAGAATTTAGAGGTAGAGAGACTTTTCGAGCTCTGTTACAAGAGTTAACTAACATGGGGTAGTGGAAGGACAAGTCACTTTCCTTTGCTTGGCCTCAAATTTTTTATCTGTAAAACCAAAGGGTGTGACCACATGATTTCAAAGGTCTCTTTCAGCTCTAAATCATAAGTTCCAGTTCTTCCAATTTTTCTAAGTCAAGTGCCAGGGCAATACTAACAGTTGTTGTTCAGTCATTTCAGTCGTGCCTGACCCTCCATGACCCCATTTGGGGTTTTCTTGGCAAAGATACTGGAGTGGTTTGCCATTTCCTTTTCCAGTTCGTTTTACACATGAGGAAACTGAGGCAAATAGGGTTAAGTGACTTGCCCAGCACTACATCACTAGTAAGTGTCTGAGGTCAGATTTGAATTCAGGTCTTCTTGATTAAAGGCCTGGCACTCTATCCACTGGACCATTTAGCACCCCAGTACTAGCAGTAGGCCTGTTTTTCTCCACCCTGAAGTATCCCTCATAGGTAGTTTGAAAAAGTCCCTTTCATTTGATCATTCTTCTCCCTCAAACTATCCATATTCCTGGGAATAAGTGAAGAGCCAACCTTGAGACATGTTTGTAGGAATTCTCTGTGCTAGGTCATAATTACTATACCAAGCATATCTTATGTCATTATTTTAACATCATGACTGCTGCTTCCTGATTAATGACTGCCTGTTAGATAACTTAACCTTAGTTATCTCTCAAGTCACATGAATTGATTTCTAGAAGGAGAGGGAATTGAGAAAAACCGGGTTATTCTGCCTCAAATACTTAATAGTTCTGTGACCTTACTTAAGTCATGTGATCTCTCTGGGCCTCATTTTCCTCATCCATAAAATGAGAAGTTGGATCAGGTAACCATTAAGGACCTTTCACCTCTAAGTCTATGATTCTGCAGTCTTCATCTCACACAATTACAAATACTGTGTGCCAGCACACATACCTTGAGTAAGATGAAGGGATAAAGGCAGTTGGTAACATTTGACAGGAGAAATACTACTCAGAACTTGGTGTCAGCTCTCAGCCCTCCCACCTCATAGCCACCTTCTGATTCTCTATTCAATTAAATTATATTTAGCAAATATATTATAAAAGGCCCTGTGCTAAAAGTAATAAAAATACTGGGACAGTATGGGTATATGTGTGTGTGAATGGGCAGTAAAGGGACCATCTTCACATGCCCATAGACAGCTCTGCCATTATGGATCCCCTCCAGACACAAAAGGCAGTATCAAGAATGTCTTTACATGATGGGGGATGAACCATTAGGGTATGTCCTAATTCTGGTTCTCAACACTTCATGCACTCCTAACCCTATGTGATCTGTCTTTGGTGTCTGGATGTTTGCTCTCTGGCACCCTTCACTGGCAGAGTGGGTCCTTCCTGACCTACCATGTCTTACCCCAGAATAGGTGATGATACATCCCCTTCCTTGACCCCTCTGCCAGTTCACATCTGGCTTGGTGGGTGGCTACAACTCTGGTGATAGCCCTTGACTCTCCTCATACTAGAAGGCCCCTGTTGGTCATCTTGAACTGTAGCCTATTCCTCCTGCCACTCCAGGGATTGATCAAGCTGACCTGCCTTAGCTCAGCAGTAGCCAGCACATTCTGCATATTGTCTTCCATATGTATTCCCTTGCTTCCCAGAGATCAGGTGCTCTGGGCCTCAGCTTTTCTGCCAGCTGTCTTGAAAGCTAGAAAAGCCTTCTAAATACTATTCCTGAGACATGGAGTTCCATATTCTGCTGAGTGTAGTGATGGGTGGGTTTTATTCTCCTCAGAAGCAAAGAATTGAAGATGACTACTTACACTATTTTGAAAGTCATCCTGAATTGTCTCATTCAAAGAGTTTTTCCCACTCAGCAGACTACTTTTAAGTCAGACAGCTTTCCCAGGTGCAATCCCACCTTCTGTAAACTGCAAGGTCTTCAATATTTCACTCTGGCTTTAAATTACTGGAGAGTAGAAGTACATTTTGGAAACAATTTCTTCATTTGAATCATGGGTGAAGTCAACCACAGTTCAGTGACATTCCACAAACATGTTTTAAACAACTCTAATACGTGAGGAATGATTTTAGGTGCCAGAGATAAAAAGACAAAAATAAGTCATTCCTGCCCTGATGGAGCTTAGCTTCTACTGCTAGAATTCTATTTATCATGAAGCAGAATCTGTCAAAAGTTTTTCTCGTCCAAAGGATGTGCTAAATAGGACTTACTAAAAGGCAGTCTTATTAAAAGGCATTATGAAATGACTTCATAACACAAGTCCCAAGAACAGACTGCTACTAAAGCTTTCAGAGTTTTAGAGAGAATTACATTCCCAATGGTGGTTCTCCTCTCTTCTTTCCACATAGCTTCAAACCTGTTTGCAGTAGGATTTGTGTTTGAACAGATGCATTGTTTATTTATTTGAACAGATGCACTCCTTGCATTGGTTTTCCTTGACTTTGATGGGAATCTCTGTGTCTTCCCCAACCAGGCCACAGGTGTTTCAAGCCAACACATATTGGTGGCAGTGCTTCCAGGCTTACCCACAGCTGCTGAACTCTTTGTCCTGCCCTATCAAGATGCTACAGGAGAAAACAAAAGGTCATCAGAGGACCTGGAGCAGGTGAGTCCCCCTGGGGAAGAACTGGAGCTTTTCTCCATGACTGGAAGCACCAAACTGGCAGCATCCAAACCTCCCATCAGCCATCTGGCCAGACACAAAAGCACGGGGATGAGTGAAGAAGAATGAAACTTGAAGCCAGGATATCAGCTCAGGCACTGCATAGACCGAAGCAAAAGGACTCAAGAAGCCCTTTGGGCCTCAATTTCTAAATGTAAAATGGGGATGATTGTATCTGTCTTCACTTTCTCACATTATTTATTAATGAAAAAAAATAGCATATCTGCTTTGGTGGGTAGGAAGATGAAGGGCCAGTTGCAGGAACGAGGGAGTGTAGCCTGGAGAAGACAAGACCCAGTGGAGACCTGACAGCTGTCTTCTTGTATTTGGAGGGTTTTCATTTATGGGAAGTTTGTTCTATTTGGCCCCAAAAGACAAAATCAGGAGCAATGAGTACAAGTTGCAGAGACAAATTTAAGCTTAATGTGGGGCTATAAAGGTGGGGGGATCTTCCTAGCAATTTGAACTGTTCGGTTGGAACTGTTCAAAGTAGAATGGCTCTTCTAGAGAGTGGGGGCGAGGGGCAGTAGTCCCCTCTCCTTAGTGGTTTTCAGGCAGAGGCTAAAGAGCCACTTGTCTGGTTATGCTACACTGGGTGTTCCTTTTGCGTGTGGATTGAATGGATCGTCGCTGTCCCTTCCAACTCTTAAATTCTGTGATGGCACCTTGACTTCTCTGGTGGGGCTCTACCTTCCAGGATTGCCAGGAACAAGTCCTTCATGCCTTCTACCCCTGTAAAATAAACAAGATTGAGATGCTTTATAGACTCTTTGAAAGGAAGTGAAAAGTCTTTGAAAAGATAAACATCCTATGGAAATGCATTTTCAATTCAGTTCAACAGTCTAAAAGCCTATTATGTGCAGAAACTTTGCTAGGTGATGTTGATGGAAAAGCTGGTGACTGGATTGCCCAGGATTCTGAGAGGATTTCCAAAGTGTATTTATTATCATGAGAATTGAATTGGCTTTCATACTTGCTTCTGTGACCTCTTGGACCTGGAATATCACCTTAGGTTCTGTCTCTATCACCTTATCCCTCTCAAAATCAGAAAACTCTTACTATCACCATAAGAGATTGTACTTTGTGACTAGGCAAAATAGTAAATCTGTCGTCCCCATGGAAATAAAACTCTAAGTCAAGATTATTGAAGTCTAAGAAGGCAAGGGAATAAAAAGTGGACTCCTACCAACTACTAAGTACACCCTGCCTTCCTCCCTGACCCTCCCCATAGACTTAGGGGGATGTTCAGGGATTATCTTTGACTAAACCTATTATCTAGCCCCATGATCTTTACTTTTATGAAATAGTTTGAAAATATCTTTTAACAGCCTTCTCAGCAAAAATAAAATTACCTCCCTCACCAAACCCAACAAATTATGTAATGCTTTTTTCTTGAACTCCCTCAGTCACTTGATAGACTTTTTCGTTCCTAATTCTGCCAGTGATTTCATTGGTATTGGCAACTAGTAAGGAAATCCCCTCTATGACTGCATGTCAGCACCTATTCTACAAGGTATAGTTTTAGAGAAGTTCTTGGGGGCATTTAGAGGTCATGGGCTTGGCAGGGACATGAATTACACATCAAAAGGCAGGACTGGTATTCAGGTCTTCCTGACTCTGAGGCCAGCACTCGATTTACTCACTACACACTTTACTGCCTTTCAATGATAAACTTTTCATCTTTATATTTTTCTACTTATCTAAGTAATGTCGAACCATGTTTCCTTTGTGAATTTGAAGTGAAGGCATTCTGTAATCCTCCATATTTCCATCTATCTGTGCTCACCTCTGGCCTTCATCTTCAGTTAGAGTCTACAGATGATTATGTACACCTATAATTTAGTGGACCATGAGGTGGTCCATTGCTTAGGTTATATAATTGAAGGAGGCAAAGGCCTTTGGGTCTGTAGGACTTCAACTGTTCTGACTCTGCCTATCTTATTTAGATCCTACCGAGATGAAATTATAATCTTCCAAGATATAGAAATGATTTGGGGTTTATATCTAGCTACTTCCCTTTACCTGCACACTTTCCTTTCCCTATTTTTTTCTATCTTTTTTTTCTGGTTGTACAAAATTTGATTAAAATTTCTTGAAAGGCAGGGAAGAAAACAACATAGATATCTATTTGTCATTAGGGTAGTTCATAGTGTCTTCAGTAGTACCTCTGTCTCTTTGTCTCTCCCATCCTTCCCCTCTCCTGCTTCTGCCCTCATCCTGCTCCACCCCTAGCTCTCTTTCACTCCCTGCTATCTAGGTAGTAGCTGTTTGCCCTCTAGTGGTAGTGTCATAAATCATCTTTGCATCATTCCAGCCAAATCTCATAAAACATCTGAAAAAAAGACCAAGTTGTCCCACTTCATCTGGGGCCATCTCCAGTCCTCTTGATCTATATCTTGCCATTGGACCCAGATGGCTCCCAAGGAGAGAGGGAGGTGGTGACCTCGCACAGCCCTCCCTTACTTAAATCCAATTCGCTTGAAAGTCATGGTCCTTCAGTTATCATGGTCCTCTTGGAGAACAAAGGACAAATAACAAATAAACAACAACATAAAACATTATTTTTATTTGGAGATGAGTTCAACCTACTGGCGTGAGTATCCATAGAGGCCTTCTGTACTTTGTACCTGATTCAAAAAAACCTTTTCTCTCTTGTTTTTCATGTCTTTTCTTACATTTCTCCAGGACAGTATTTAACACACAGTAAGTATTTAATAAATGGTTATTAATTGAAGAGATAGAAGCGCTTTCAGTTCTCACAGAGTTGAATATGTGTTTATGGAGATAGAGACAGTAATAGAATCTTAGAACAGCGCTAAGGGATAGATTTAATCCCTGTGGATAGATTTCTGGGGGGGGGGGGATTTATAAACATGAATGGGAAAAGTTACATTTTTATTTCAATATCTTTTTTTGCTTTGTAAGCTTATGTATTTTATTCTATTCATCTGAAATTATTGTTTTGAGAATGAGTCCATAAGCTTCACCAGCCTTGCAAAGGAGCTCATGACATTATTAAGAATTCCTATCTTATAAATCTACATTTAGAACTAGAAAGGATATTATAGATCATACAGTCTCACTCCCTCATTTTATAGATGAAGAAATTGACGCCCAGAGAAATTAAGTGATTTGCCCCAGATCAAATGGGAATGATTGACAGAGCTGGGCTTTGAACAAAAATTCTCTGGCTCTAAATCTGCCACTATTTGCATTGTACCACATCAGAAATATCTTAGATCTAATATAATCAAACCTCATCTAATGCAGGAATCTTATCCCTACATCATCCATAAAGCTGCTTGAATACCTTTAATGGTAGAGAACTCATTACCTTGTGGCAACCCATACCATTTTGGGACATCACTAATTCTTAGGAAGCTCCTTCTCATATTGAACTGAATCTACTTCATATAATTTTATACCATCGATCCTAGTTCTGTCCAACCAGTTATATATCAGAGGCACAAGTAGAACCCAGGTCTTCTTGGCTGTGATGCTAACTGTCTGTCCACTACTCCACACTGCCTCTCTTACATACATATATAAAATATGTTTTTGTTGATTTGTGTGTGTGTGTGTGTGTGTGTGTGTATGTATATATGAGAAGGGGGAAGATGAGTATATTTGAGAAGTAGCATGGCATTTAGATACATACATGTATACACACTGGTTTTAAGATAGATAAGGGGTAATGACAGGTCACTGCTTCCTTGGACTTTGGCTCTAACCAAAATAAGCAACATAGCCAAATGCTAAATCCAAAATGGTAGCTATAGACATTGGAAAGATTAGCAGTGTCTTGTCTTATCCCTACTGAGGGGACTATCATTCCTATGTATCTGAGGCAGTGGATCCAACCTGATAGAATAAGTCACATCTGAGCTACCTTGTTCTAAGAGCTTCTCTGCTCTTAGGGACCTTGGGGAGCACCTAAGCAACTCCTTTTGCAAGAGGTCTTGCCCAGTTCTCACATCTGCTGGTGCCTTCCTTTCTGAGATTACCTTCTCTCTGCTCTGTATATAACTTGTACATGCTTAGTTATTTGCATGCCATCTCTAGAATTAGAATATAAATTCCTTGAGGGCAGGGACTAGTTTTGTCTTTCCTTGTACTCCCAGAATTTCTGACAGTGCCAGATATCTAGTAAGCACTTAGTAAGAGCTTGTTGACTAACTCATTTCATTTTTTGATGATGAAAATGAGGCCCAGACTAGGGGAAGCAACTTGTCCAAGGTCAAATCAAGGTTTAATAGAGGCAATGTGCCCTAGGAGAGAGAATGCTAGTTTGGAGTCAGGAAGATCTTACCTCTTATTCCCTGTATGAAGGTGCACAGCTAGGTGGTATAGCAGATAAAACACTAGGGAGCCAGGGAGTTAGGGAGATCTGAGTTCAAATCCAACCTCAGAAATTTATTAAGTATGTGATGGGCAAATCATTTAACCTCTGCCTGATTCACCTGTAAGGTAAGGAGAATAATAGCATCTACCTCCCACGGGTGTTGTGCTTTTGTCTGAAAGTGCTTTGCAAGCCTATAGCTAACTATCATTATTATTATTAAAATTGACATCATTGTTATTATTTAGCTTCTCTGTTCTCTAGTTACCTCTTGTATAAAATGGGAATGATATAACTTGTAGCACCTACTTCACAAGTTTATTCTGGGCTTAAATGAGATTATGTGTCAAACACTTCGCAACTATATTGTTCAATGTAAATGTAACTATTATGATTTAATAGCTCAACCCAGACTAGAACACAGACCTCTTATCTCTAAGAGATACCTTCCTTCTATACTCATATTCCTTAAACAGAAGGAAAAACCTTCTTAGATTCAATTTTTTAAAAAAAAATTTAATGTGTGAGCCATAAGGGATCAAGATTTTTATAGCAGACAACAGACAGCAAGGAGAAGTCAAATGGATTTTACACACAGAGAGAT